TTATTCATGTAGTTCAGGGTGACAACCGAAAAACTTCAAACGCAACATAAATCAGCATTATGAAAAACAAAATAAAGTTGGCACCCTGAACTTCATGAATAAATACACGCAAAAATACACAGATGTAATACCAGCATAAAGCTACATCCTCAATCAATTTGGTAGCCAAGTGGCACTTCGGCACGCGTGCTGGAAAATTGATACCCATCCTCAATGCTGTCAATTTTTGTAATTAGGCAATTCAAACCACGTGACATTCAAGATGGCGTGGCGGCCACACATGGGCCAAAAAACACAAAAAAATATCTAGTTTCTGCCCAAATTAATAGTTTAGGTACCTAGTCAACAAATATTTTATTAAATAATGAAAATCAAAGTTGTAAGCAAAACTGTATGCAAAATAATTTAAAATACGCATAAAAACATATTCAAAACAAACTTATTTGGCCGCCACGCCACATTGAATTTTCCTTTTTGACAGATGGATTGAATGGCATGTAATATTGACAGTTGAGTTGAAGAGGGCGCTTCTGTACTTGGATCTCTTTGAATTTTGGCGCGTAAAAATTCTATTGTAATTCTAACCTCAAAACTTAAGTTTAATGTGTGGTTTCAAGACAAGCTGACGCTGAAACTTTTAAAAATATTCTCTAAGGGCCACTGAACGCTTTAGAAGATATTTTAACTTATCCATTGTCTATTGTTCATATGTAGTCATCTTTCCTTCTACTCAATTTAATCGGTTTTAAACTATTGACATTTACCGCCAAAATTTAAAGCACTCCAAGTTCACTCGCGCCCTCTACAAAATTTTGAGGAACTCAACTGGATATTTGCTGCCATTGCCTAATGGTATGTAATTTACCTTGCGTTCGGTATTTTTTTGTTTAAAGAGCAGAGCGGAGCCGTAATCACGTGACCAGCGAGTGCACAAAGCAGCTCAAGGTGGTTGAAATTTCAATAAACGAACGTGAATGAGCCTGCACCAAGTACCCTTTTTGAATAAACGAACGGTAAATTCATGCTCGGAGAACTCAGATCCAAATACCGAACTTAAGGGTAATGTACTGCGCATGACACAAGTTGTCAGGCATCGGAAAAGCTTGCAGCTTGCAAGCTTGCACTCCGGAGTCGGCATGCATGCTAGCACTAAATAGGATTGAGGATGCCAACGTTAAACAACATTGTCCTAGCATGCGTGCCAAAGTGCCACTTCGCTACCAGATTGATTGAGGATGGGCCTTAACTGTTTTTTTGACGCCTCATAAACAAACCTGGGTCCTTATTCTTGAAACTGAGGAGCAGCGTTCCCAGGGGAACGAGTATTCCGTCTTTCTCAATAATATGTAAATGACAATACAAGTAATAAAGACAGAACACTCATTCTCCTGGGAACGCTGTTCCCCTGTTTCAAGAATTAGGACCCTGATGTGATTACAATCAGTTTGTTCAGATCAAAAGAATACTGTAATGTGTGGAATCAAAAAAAACCAAAACAAGCCGCTTATCACAAAATTCCAGAACAGTTTCTCTTTTAGAGCAAGAACTGAGAGAACCGTTCTAGAACAATTCCAGAATTCCTATTATACTATAGTTCTAAATAAACCAAAACGCTGTCAACACAGTTCGATCACGATTCTGAAAAAAACGAAAACACATTTCATAACATGCGCATATGTGCAGAATTATTCCGAACTAGTTCTGAGCAGTGATGTGCCTGTAGACAATAGCTTTGTTTTGGTTCGAAATTTGGAACCGTTCTGGAATTGCGCAGAACTGCTTGCGCACAAAAAATAATAGAGGACTGTTCTAATACTAGTTCTGAACCAGTGGCGGCTCGTCGTATAAAGCAACTGAGGCCGGGCCTCACATGTAAAAATTACAATAATGATGCAAAATTTTGAAATAATATTCATTAAATATTTAACGTTTTTCAACTATTTTCAATCATTAAAAGAATCAAAAGATCGAATTTTCATTAAAATATAATACTATTTCTTGAATTTAGCGCGCGCTACCTATTTATCCTTATAGGCGTTCAAATCGTTGCCGGACAGCATTAAAACAAAATAGCAATCCCAAAAATTTTGGCCTCATGTGCGTCACGGAATGCCGAAGCGATGCCACGGCACTCCCCACCACAACCCTTCAACTGTAGGTGAGACGATAGCGAATTTTCATAGGCATTGAGGCGCACAATTTTGGGCTTGTTAACAAGAAACCTTGCATCTCTCGCTGCTGCGACAAGTATTTAATTGGTTAATTGGCTTATACTTTTTATTTTGGTCTGTTGCGGGTTAAAAAATTGTTTTTTTGGAATTTATTTTGTTAATTTGAAACTCAATATTTGTATTAAAATAAGAATTATGTACCTACTGCTGTTGTTTTGCAACTGTAAGAAATGAAAATTTTCATTAGAAATATACAAAAAAAAATATCCGAGATGTTCTTCTAATGAAATTTTGGGTCAAAATTTTGGCGTAACACTTGAAAATTTTGTTTGGGTTTGTTTGGGTTAACTTGATGGGCCATGGGCCTCACCAGTTTGGATTGTCACGAGCCGCCACTGTTCTGAACCAATTCGGAACCAAAAAAACCAAAACACAAAATTCTAAAACAGTTCCTCCTTCAGAGCAAGAACTGAGAGAACCGTTCTAGAACAATCCCAGAATTGTTCTCAAAAAGTTCTAGATAAACCAAAACACTGTCAACACAGTTCGATTACGATTCTGAAAAAACCGAAACGCGTTTTGTAATATGCTCATGTGCAGGATGATTCCGAACTAGTTCTGAGTGAAACCAAAACAAAGCTATTGTCAACGTAAACAATTGATTGTCTACGCGTAGACAATTCGAATTGTTTACGTGAGCATTTGTCTACACATTGTCTACATACGGCGTAAACAATATTTTATTATAAAAAATTCGAAAAAAAATATCAAAAGTTACTATAATATCATTATCACTTCGATATTAGCATTCACCAATGAACTATAGCTAAAAACTGGAATGCGCACACAATTGCCATATCTGCCAAAAAAATGAAGCCATGAAAGACAGATGCCACAAGGGGGAATGTTGTTTTTTTCTGTTGCTCGCTGACATATGACGTTTTCGAAAGTTTTGTCATATTTCCCTTCACAGGTTTCATCGATTGGAATACGTGTTGGAAGCAATTTTCGCCATTTAACATAATGAGTGCGACAAAAACAGGTATCCCCTCCGCAGCAGCCGCACTAGGCTTCACGTTCGTCCTTATGTGTTAGCATTCCAGTTTTTGGTTATAGTTCATTGGCATTCACTGATTATAAAATATCAGAAAAACCAATAATAGAATCAGTGTTGCCAATGTGTCAAAAGATCCTCCTGTCAACCCAAAATTATCCGATTTTATACGAAATTATCCGATTACTTTTGAAACATGATATAGGCGTTTTTTCGCACTGGAACTGGTTGAACCCGGTTCACCCGATTATTCGATCAGTATAGCAGTTTGTATTCTATCTTTTTCTAATGAACACTATAGAACAAAGACAAAAAACACCAGCTGACAGATGATCGAATCAATGCCCTCTAGTAGTGGTTCTGGCTTCTGGCACCGATCCCAACGGAACAGAAACCAGCGCCGATGTTGCCAAATGCAAAATTATCATTTTCCATGCAAAATTACCATTTTCCTTACGTTTTCAAATTTAATTGATCGATCGGATGAATTAAGCCTAGTACTCATAACTGCGAAATTCGCATTTTTTTGACATTGCTTCGACAAATTGACGTTTGATACACGCATAAAACGTCAAATTGTCAACGCAATGTCAAAAAAATGCGAATTTCGTAGTTATGAGTACTAGGCTTTATCCGTTTTTTATCCGATTTTTGACTGGGTGAGACAATTATCCGCAACCATGGTAAATTATCCGCAAATCGGATAATTATCCGCCAATTGGCAACACACTGAATAAAATAAAAATAATTTAAAAAAAGGGAAGTGTGAGGTTAGAATTAAACGTCATTTATATTATTTTACATTGTTGACACGTTGTCTACATTGTCTACATTATCTACACGTAAAGTAGACTATGAAAGTCTACGTGTAGACGCACATCTCTGGTTCTGAGTGAAACCATAACAAAGCTGCACCTATACCTATGTAATTAATTTCAGGCCTACTTTGATACTCAAATTGGCAACAGGGCTTTAATAATTTTCATTGTCATTGTCAGCCTACTATAAAAAAAGATTTTGAATTTGTTGATAATGGTGATGGTTGAACCTTGTAAAACGCATAGAATTTAGAATTTGTTCAACGAAAATATTTCCGCAATATAAGTAAATACCTATGTGTAGGGTGTTTTTTTCTTAAAAACCATTGATTAAAAGTTTAATCTTATGGTTATTGAAAGATGTTATATTTCAGCAAGGAAAAGTAATACAGTAGTACAAGGGACCTTTGGATAAACAAAGGTGAGTGGGAAGAATTTTTATTTTTAACATAGAATTATACCAGGTGATAAATATTTTCGCGCTCATGCATTAAAAATGAGGAAAAGCTTTCAACATCTGTGAAAGTTTAAAAAGACTAGGAAGGTTATTAGTTTATTCGGTATCACATAGGTACTTAAGGATGTTTTTTTCAATTTTAAAATGGCCTAAACCTTACAAATTCTTAATACGACTTAAGTTATCTTAAAAAATCCTAATTCAATTAAGATACTGTTAAATTAAGAAGTTTTCAACACAATAGCGTTTTCCTAAGCACTTGACCCCATTAATCGAATGTACCTTCAAGGATAATGAAGACAAAGCAAAGAGACCAGAGACTGCACGATCTTGACAAGACAACCTGTATACCATAATAATTAGCCAATTAATTAAGCCAGAAAATAAGACAAGGAACTTAAAAATTAGGCCAGCAACGAGTCAAGAAATTTAACACTTTCCAAAAATGTTTACGAAAGAACACTGTACCAGAAAGAGATAAAATACGTTTTACTGTTTACCTTGAAACTGCAGTCCTCGATTTATTTATTTTTTAGTGACCACAATATAATGAAACACTCGGTATTAAACGAGACACGGTGGAAAACGAAAAAAATACACTCATAAAATTAAAACAAATTTATTTATTGGTTTTCAAATCACGGAAAAGAAGACTGTTCCGAACGAGAATCTCCCCGCCCTGGATAATATACGTACTGTTTGTTTGACAGACCACCATTTTATGTACACACACAAGAAAATCTTATTTGTCTGGTTTTATATGAGCTATCGCCATCTTTTTATTCGGAGCCCATGTTGAATAACCATCGACTTGGGCCAGTGTAGATTCCTTTTTATTTTTGGCCTAATACAAACTCCTTCACCAATACGACAGAAAGTGTGTTTATCGTGGTTTAGGGTTTAGTTCAATTTTAAAAACATTTTTTGTTGTAGTGTAGGTACATACTTATTGATATTCTATTTGATGATTTGAACAGACTTGAGAAATAGGAAAATTTCTAGAAGGTGATACAAAAATATCATTGTTTGAACAATATAATTTTTGCCCATGCTGCTATAAAGTGTTTTAAAACTTCTAAATGGTCTATTGAAGTTATAAATTCTTTTAACTTGTGGTGAAGACTTCTGGAGCATTTTAGAGGTTTTTCAGTAATTTCTGGATTATTCTGATAGTATTTTAGAGCCATATTGAAGCTTCAAAGTGTTCTGTATTGGTTCAAAAGAGAAGCTTTCCAGTTCTAAATTGAATCCTAATGTTTATAAAATAACTCTAAATTGTTTCAAAATGCTTCTAAAATTTTTGATTTGGATTTGAACTGAAGTTCTACAGCAATCTAAATTGGCTCTTAAAAACATTCTGAAAGAAAGTTTTGTAACTTTTAAAACCTGAAGCCTAAGATTGTCGCTTTTGAAAATGTTTCTGGAGATTGTAGAGTGTTTGATTGTTTTGGAGCGTCCCAATATGGGTTTCAAACTTCTTAATTGTTCTAAAAATGCTTTTGGATGTTTGTAAATTGGTTTTTGAATGTTTTGGGCATTCTCTAAAATGGTTCTGAAATTTCCAAAATGTTCTGAAGCGCTACAGATTGCTTTTGGATATTCAGAATTGAATTTTAAGTATTTTGAACTTTCCAAAAGGCTTATTACAGTTCGAAAGTTTTCTTTAGCATTCTAAATGGTTTCCAGTAACTTCTAAATTGGATGATAAATTCTGTGGAAAAGACGTCCCTAGGATGTCCACAAACGACATTCAAGACATCTTGCTTACGTCATCTTGAAGACGAGTCCACATCACTGAATAGACCCATTCGTGGAAAATTTTCTAAAAAGTTACCTCTATCTACACGTTTTTCTTGGTCAAGTCTCAAAATCTGTCTAAAACGCGCAGACCTAAAAACGAGGTCTTTAAGACTTTGTAACGACCTGTCTGGGAAGCGGTTTGTCAGAAGAGAAAGATGCCATCAAGCTATTCAAAGCTGTATATGCGGTTCCTTGTCACATTTAACAAATCATTTCTGAAAATGAGAAACAATATCAGGGACAGAACTGACCCTTGGGGACTGACATACGCCAGCAGATCCCATGTTGATCTTTTAGAGCGAAACACTCGTAGAATAGGATTAGCTGAGTCAATCTATGGGGGGTCAGGATGCAAGAAATTAGCAACAAGCTGATTCCAGCGGAAATGTTTAGTAAGTGACCTCTTATTTAACCTCCCAAAAGTCCCATTCAGTCTTAGGGGTGGAAGGTTGAAAAAAATGGCCGCCATCTTGGATTTTGTTGTTTTTTTCAAATATCTCAGTTTCTATCATTTTTTTCAAGAAAACTCAAGAAACCTTTTTGTGGAGAATTTAATTCTCTATAAAAAGTGTTTATACCTTTTTTTTTTGTATTATAAAGGATAACGGAGATACAGAGCTTTTTATAGTAAATATTTCAAACATTTCTTTACTTTTATTCCTTTCGAAATGTTTAGAAGAAGTCTAAGGTTAAATAGAGAACGAAAACGATTTCCCCTGTTCCACCTCCAGCAAAAAGCTCTGGGAATGCTAGAGGTGGAACAGAGGAAATCGTTTTCGTTCTCCATTCAACCTTAGACTTTCTTTAGACATTTCATTCTATTGCATTAAAATTGATATGAAGATGTTTACTTGCCAGGCGTGTATAGGACTTGGACATGAATGCAACAAGTTCCTTATTAGAATCCAGAATGGCTTTGCAGGTGCCTTCCAGCCCATTCAGTTTTTAGTACCATCTATAGTGAGCTGGCCATTGGCAGGAATAGGAGAAAACCCTCTATTTAATTTTGCTACATCATCCTCGATAACACACAATTCTGATTGGATAGCACAACTCTTTGGTTGGTTTTGAGCTTTTCCATGTCTGCTTCGAATTCGTGAAGTCTTGAGCTCAACTCCGGCAGTGCTTGGAAACAGTCCATACAGCTTGGACAAAAATATCTTAGGCAGCGTTCTTTCATTCTGAGAACTCGGATCTCAGAGCTCCTTACTCCAGAGCAATTTCTGCATAGAATCTTGCGACAAATGTCACATGGTTAGCCAAAAAGCTAATTTTTGTCCTCCTTTTGGAAGCAGGCCTTATCAGAGGTAGATCCATATCAGGATTGATTATGGTAGGAATAAAATTTAATACAGAATGTTTATTTGGGTAAGGCCCGGTTTATTCGCATCTTCAGATAAACTTGCTGCGGTAACTATCTGCAACATAAATTTATTGTTCTATTATTCTATTGGTTGGCGGATAACTGGCCGACCAATGAGATTACAGATTGGGTTTTTATTTCGTTTTTGTGCTGCTGATAAGTAATACAATTTATCTTTTTTTTCTATTCCTATTTGAGTCCCAATAATTAAACTGGATTTGTTGGCTCACCAAGAATGAAGTCCAGCACAATTTTTACAAGGTTGAAAAGATCACAATTTCACAAACAAAATGACTCCACACACGATCAATATAACCAATAGAGACCCATAAAAACTTGCAATTTCTACGGAGTAAATATACTACTTACTTTGGTGGATCGCTTTTTTGGATCTTCAACAAAAGTGAAAAATTTATAAATCAAATTCTAAAAAAAACTATATCTCCGTTATTCTTCATGTTACAAAAAAAAACGTAGAGACACTTTTTATAGAGAATTAAATTCTTCACAAATAAGGTTTTTTGAGTTTTCTTGAAAAAACGAATAGAAACTGAGATATTTGGACAAAACAAAAAAAAACAAGATGACGTCCATTTTTTTCAACCTTCCACCCCTAGGACTGAATGGGACTTTTGGGAAGTTAAATAGGAGGTCGGTTACTGAACATTTCCGCGAAAATCAGCTTGTTGCTAGTTTGTTGCACCCCCACCTATGTTATGCAGCTACGTTTATCCTACTAGATGTAAAAATACTGTAAATTAGCTCAATATTCTACAAATGGTAGAAACGTATTTATTTTTAAAAAGATTTCCAAATACAAAATATTTGAGAAAACTTTTATTTGGAAAATTTAATCCTACCAAAACATTAGTTCAACAGAAATGCGAAAACGTAAATTTTCCTCTTCAAGTTTTTGCATCCCTGAATGATACAGAATGCAAAACTGGTCGAAAATGCGATATTTTCGAATTTGTATGAGAATGATGGCTTCGATCGATTTTCCTAAAAATTCCCCATACATACTTCCTTAGATTTCCCCAAAAATCCCCGGTCACACTCAAACTTTCCTTTCTTATAGGTACTTCCTCAGAATTTTCCCGAAGTTTCTATGGATTTTCTCGAAGATTTCCCATTTTCCTTCCTTCTATTATCTTCTCTTATCCTTAGTAAACGACGTTCACTAACTAGGTGTGAGTCCTATTCTAGACGACTAGATTTAAGATTTTTATGGATTTTCTCGAGGATTTTCCTTTCCTCCATTATCTTCTGCTTATCAATAAAACGTTCACTATAACTAGATGTCGACATTGTAAAACGTGAAAAAGTCTCCAATAATTTACTGACCTGTCTGGGAAGCGGTATGTTAGAAGAGAGTGACATACACTGCTCACGAAAATATATGGTTTTGTTCCACAAGGAAGCCATATTCCTACTCTACTGCCGATTCCAGAAGCTATTTTAAAGTCTTTGCGAGAAAATGCGGCAGCTAAAGCTAGAGGAATTTTCGATGATGGACAGTATCGTGGATAAAGGTTGAGTGAGGGATAATATAAGAATGAAGCTCATATAGTGGATATAAATATTAAAGGCAAAGGTGATTTATAAAATTATTTATTTTCTAGAGCAATTGCCATAATAAATAAGGCCGATACATATTATTATAAATACATCAAGTTAAATGTATTGCATAAATTTTGCATGTAATTATTTACGTTTTTGCAGAATCCTATGAATTCTTGCTATAGTCTCTTTACTTAACTTCAACGTCTTACCATTCATGCAATTAAGTATTATATTATCTGAATCAAAGACAAATTTATTTTCATTAAGACGAAACAATATTTTATCGTTAAATTGTTGCGAAGATTTTTTTCGATTCATACAACATATATTTTTTCGACAGAACCTATTGACAAACATTAAAAACTCTGATTGCTCAACGTGTTTCATGTAATCAATCCTTGCTATGTGTCCTAAAAGTTCTGCTTCTTTTCGAATTTTATCTGTATCACTTATCGCCAAACCACTTAGAAGATTGAGTAGAATTAAATGTATTATGAAAATGAAAAGCAAAAAAACTAGTTTGCTTGTAACGTAAAAAGTCTCAAAATCCATGTCAGAAGAATCAAATTCTCCTGTTACCCTAATAACAGTTTTAAAAATCGCCTGTCCCAAATCATAAAAGATCGTATCGCTGCTGTTATCTGAAGCATCGTTGGCATGAAATAATAGATAAAAACTAAATGAAAATGCAAATATAAGTCCAGAATATGCTAGTAATGCGCAAAAAAAATTAAATGACACTGTTTTAAGCATTACAATATGTGTCGAGAAATGAGGATGCTTTCCTAACATATCCATGAATTCAAAAGATAATAAAATTATTGATAAAGACCATATTTGTCGTTTTTCGTATTCACACAGTACTAAAAAACAACAAAATATCAGAGATAACTCCAAATAATTTTCAGGACTTTTCAAATATTCTTTTGGATACTTAAATGCCTGGAGTATTTCGCGAATAAGAAATACGATCATCGTTAACCATAAAAAGAATTGGACGCAAATAAGTATAAAATATGGAATATGTATACCCATCATAGATTTTAAAAAGTCGAGAAATATAAATGACAAAAGACAAAAAGCGAATGCAGAAAAAATTACAAAGTTCCCCCAAAATAGTCCATGATATTGTGTCCACTTAAAAGCTGAGAAAGCAACTATAACTGGGTGCTTTAAAAAATGTTGCAAGTCTTGAGAATGTGCTATGTGGTAGAGAACCTGAAAATAAATTGAAGTTAAACATACATTACTGATTGCGGAGGAAAATTTTGTACCTCAGTGTCTGTTACATTTGGTGCCAAAGCTGATGCAGATGCAGCTTCTACATCTTCAGGCTCATTGGAATAAGGCGGAATTAAGCATTGAACATCGAACTCAACAGTGAAATTCGGTTGATTTCGTTTTTTGTTTGATTTTATTATTATAGAATCATCTAAATGCTTTTTGAATGTTTCAGTATCCATGTACTCCATAGGAGTATCTCCGAAGTTACTTTTTGATCCGATGAACGCTCCTAAGCTGAGAAGTTGCTTGGTGATAGTTTCATTGTGATACCTAGAATACAGTTTATTAGTTTAAATAGCGTTTTGTAAAAATTTTGAAGCTCAAATCACTGATTTTGTGATGCTTGCGGACTAGTGGGGATTCGGCGAGGACATATTAATATTGTATTGAAGATCTGAAAATTGAGACAAGTACTAAAAAATTATGAGAAGACATAAAAATAAAACCACTGAAATGCTGCGGTCTTGTGCCGACCTTTCGGGATGACCGAGAACAATTGGTACTGGAATGAGTTACAATGAATGACATTTCCTTCTGATGGATAATGTTCTGTAGCTAATATTATTCCTTTTTTTTTCCAAGATATATAAAGACAAAAATAACTCAGTGCTTGAAAAAAAAAATCATATTTTCGATTTAACCCAAACCCACCACTGAAGCCAGAGAAACATTTTTTGAAAATCAGTTCATCGTATTTTTTTATGTTAAGATTTTGTGCCTAAATGATCATTGATCATGATCATCAAACTCCATACACTAAATTATTCCGAGATTTGAAGCCGAAATCTTTCAAAAAAGGGACTCAGAAAATTGAAAAAATTATAAATTTACCACAAATTGCATAGCGCGATTTTATTTCTGGAACTATAAGTCCAACTGAGCTGAAATTTTCAGGGATTGTAGTCCTCCACTGGAAGAAGAATCGCTGATAATTTCAGCTTTCTATCTATAATGGAAAAAAAGTTATGGGTCTTCAAAGTTTTTGAAAATCCTAATCATAAGGTAGCAACCTTAGTAGGGAGGTACTAAAATGATGAAATTTCAAATTTTTTTATGTTGAGATTTTGTGTCTTAATAATCATTGGGTACCCCCAAACTCCATGCACTGAATTATTCTGAGATTTGAAGCCGAAATCTATGAAAAAAGGCACTCAGAAAATTGAAAAATTGATAAATTTTACCCCAAATTGCTTAACGCGATTTTATTTCTGGAGCTATATGTCCAAATGAGCTGAAATTTTCAGGGATTGTAGTCCTCCACTGGGATAAGAAACGCTGAAAATTTGAGCATTCTATCTATAATGGAGAAAAAATTATGGGTCTTCAAAATTTTAAAAAATCCAAATCATAAAGTACTTTAGTAGGTACTAAAATGATGAAATTTAAAAAAAATATATTTTGAGATTTTGTGTCTAAATGATCATTGGGGACCCCCAAACTCCATACACTGAATTATTCTGAGATTTGAAGCCGAAATCTATGAAAAAAGGCACTCAGGAAATTGAAAAATTGATAAACATATCACAAATTGCTAAACGCGATTTTATTTCTGAACCTATACGTCCAAATGAGCTGAAATTTTCAGGGATTATAGTCCTCCACTGGGATAACAATCGCTGAAAATGTCAGAGTTCTGTCTAAGTTATCAGACAATTTTCCAGAAACAGTCGAAAGCTCAGTGGCGTCATTTTTTTTTTATATGTATATTTTACCTTTGTTTTTTGTAACATCGACTTATTAGGTGCTCCCTAAGGATATCACATGAAATTTCTCAATTTTTTTCAATTATTAGTAAGTACATATCTACGGTCATTGAAATTTTCGAAGGTGAAACTGTTTCTTAGCATTTCTGAAAAACTGTCCGTACTGACAGGTTAAAATTATTACTAGACATTATTTGGATCACAAAAAACATTAAAAAACATATACCACACATCTGCGCCCCTACGGTCTTTGAAATTTTTAAGGGTGAAATATGTTTTTTAGCATTTCTCAAAAACTGCCCGTACTGACAGGTTCAAATTATTACCAGACATTATTTAGGTCACAAAGAATAATAAAAAAAAATATACGACACCCCTGCGCCCCTACGGTCTTTGAAATTTTTAAGGTTGAAATATGTTTTTTAGCATTTCTCAAAAACTGCCCGAACTGACAGATTCAAATTATTACCAGTGGCGTAGCCAGCCTCACGGAGCGGGGGGGGGCAAAGATATATGGGGGCGCCTCGATTTTTTTTTCTTTTCGGTGGGAAGGGGGGGCGGATAATAAATTGTTTGTTTGCTTTTGTAAAATTTGCTTATTGGGGGAAAATAATATGAGACGAAAAGCCGGACGCAGGCGCTGCCGGAGGCGAAAAATTTTCCCGGATGTCACGCTTAAAAAAGTTTATTTTAAGCCTTCAAAAACAATTTTTTTTCGGGTGCGAAACACATTTATTTTAAGCCTTAAAGAAAATAATGTGTGGACATGCCGTTAGACACGGATTACTTCAAAAAATCATCCCGGACGGCTTCAGACGCCTTCAGAACTAGAACAAATCCAGGGAAATCCGGAAGAATGACAGCCCCACTCAATCCATTAACCAAAACCTCTAGTTTAATCAACAAATAAATATATTGAAATTCATAATAATTGTTTTTCAGAAAAAAAAAATGTAGGTAATAGAACAGATCAGAAACTGAAATGAAAATAAATAAATATCAGGCATTTGCCGACAATAACGACTTACGAACAAGAATAAAGGGTGAAGACTATGAAGAGGTTAACAAAATAAATAAGAAAGAATGTAATTTTATAATTTCTTAATTTTTGCTTTTGATTTTTAAGAGCGGTAGGGGCGCCGCACATACAGGGGCGGGGGAGGCGTCGCCCCCCTGCCCCCCTACTGGCTACGCCACTGATTATTACCAGACATTATTTAGATCACCAAGAACATTAAAAAAAATATACCACACCCCTGCGTCCCTACGGTCTTTGAAATTTTTAAGGGTGAAATATGTTTTATGTGTAATATGCATTTCTCAAAAACTGCCCGAATTGACAGGTTCAAATTATTACCAGACATTATTTAGATCACAAAGAACATTAAAACAATATACCACACCCCTGCGCCCCTACGGTCTTTGAAATTTTTAAGGCTGAAATATGTTTCTTAGCATTTCTCAAAAACTGCCCGTATTGACAGGTTCAAATTATTACCAGACATTATTTAGATCACAAAGAACATTAAAAAAAAATACCACACCCCTGCGCCCCTACGGTCTTTGAAATTTTTAAGGCTGAAATATGTTTCTTAGCATTTCTCAAAAACTGCCCGTACTGACAGGTTCAAATTATTACCAGACATTATTTAGATCACAAACAACATTAAAAAAAATATACCAAACCCCTGCGACCCTACGGGGTGAAATAGTACATTATACACCTAGGAACTAAAGTGGTACTTTTAATCCCGAGACAAAAAGGGAGGGCTATAATTTGTCGAGTACGGGCACTTTTTGAAAAATGCTAAAAAACATATTTCACCTTTAAAAATTTCCAAGACCGTAGAGGCGCAGGGGTGTGGTATACATTTTTTAATGTTCTTTGTGATCCAAATAATGTCTGGTGATAATTTGAACCTGTCAGTACGGGCAGTTTTTGAGAAATGCTAAGAAACATATTTCACCTTTAAAAATTTCCAAGACCGTAGAGGCGCAGGGGTGTGGTATATATTTTTTAATGTTCTTTGTGATCCAAATAATGTCTGGTAATAATTTGAACCTGTCAGTACGGGCAGTTTTTGAGAAATGCTAAGAAACATATTTCACCCTTAAAAATTCCAAAGACCGTAGGGGCGCAGGGGTGTGGTATATTTTTTTTAATGTTCTTTGTGATCTAAATAATGTCTGGTAATAATTTGAACCTGTCAGTACGGGCAGTTTTTGAGAAATGCTAAGAAACATATTTCAGCCTTAAAAATTTCAAAGACCGTAGGGGCGCAGATGTGTGGTATATGTTTTTTAATGTTTTTTGTGATCCAAATAATGTCTAGTAATAATTTTAACCTGTCAGTACGGACAGTTTTTGAGAAATGCTAAGAAACATATTTCAGCCTTAAAAATTTCAAAGACCGTAGGGGCGCAGGGGTGTGGTATATTTTTTTAATGTTCTTTGTGATCTAAATAATGTCTGGTAATAATTTGAACCTGTCAGTACGGGCAGTTTTTGAGAAATGCTAAGAAACATATTTCACCCTTAAAAATTCCAAAGACCGTAGGGGCGCAGGGGTGTGGTATATTTTTTTTAATGTTCTTTGTGATCTAAATAATGTCTGGTAATAATTTGAACCTTTCAGGACGGGCAGTTTTTGAGAAATGCTAAGAAACATATTTCACCCTTAAAAATTTCAAAGACCGTAGGGGCGCAGGGATGTGGTGTTTTTTTTTAAATGTTCTTTGTGATCTAAATAATGTCTGGTAATAATTTGAACCTGTCAGTACGGGCAGTTTTTGAGAAATGCTAAAAAACATATTTCAACCTTGAAAATTTCAAAGACCGTAGGGGCGCAGGGGTGTGGTATATGTTTTTTAATGTTTTTTTGTGATCCAAATAATGTCTAGTAATAAATTTAACCTGTCTGTACGGACAGTTTTTGAGAAATGCTAAGAAACAGTTTCACCTTCAAAAATTTCAATGACCGTAGATATGTACAGGGTGGGCCAAATTGGACACTTTCTTATGGAAACACCCTTTATTTTTAGAGATAGAAAAAAATGGACCCCCCACTCTGAGCCTCAAATTTCATGAAATTTTAATTGGTGCAAACCGCATTTTGATATCTGCAACCGTTTAGGCGCTAGAGGGCGATTCTCGATTTTGAGCAATACTGTAAAGCCTCCATAACTTTTTTGTTTATGAAAATAATTCATTTCCGTAAAGACCTTTTGGAAGCACTTTTTCAAGCAGAATTCAGTGACATTCTCAGTTTTTTTCTGTCTGGCTTCGATTTCGAGACATTGACCAAAGGCCGATTTTTTTTCAATAGGACACTTTACATATTAATAGTTCATTAGAAAGCTATGCTTCGCTGATTTCATTGATATAAAGTTCGATAGTTTTATCTCTAACAGTTTTCGAGAAAAAATTATTTTGGTTTTTGTCATAAGAAACAATATGTTGGAAAAGGACTTTATCTCTGTAAGGAAACTGAGAAAGGTCTCTTTCTTACACATTGTTTCTTATGATAAAAACCGAAATAATTTTTTTTCCTGAAAACTGTTAGAGATAAACCTATCAAACTATATATCAAATCAGCGAACGCATAGCTTTCTAATGAACTATTAATATATAGGGTGTCCTATTGAAAAAAATCGGATTTTGGTCAATATCTCGAAATCGAAGCCAGACAAAAAAAAACTGAGAACGTCACTGAATTCTGCTTGAAAAAGTGCTTCCAAAAAGTCTTTACGGAAATGAATTATTTTCATAAACAAAAAAGTTATGGAGGCTTGACAGTATTGCTCAAAATCGAGAATCGCCCTCTACCGCCTAAACGGTTGAAGATATCAAAATGCGGTTTGCACCAATCAAAATTTCATGAAATTTGAGGCTCAGAGTGGGGGGTCTATTTTTTTCTATCTCTAAAAATAAAGGGTGTTTCCATAAGAAAGTGTCCAATTTGGACCACCCTGTACAGGGTTATTGGTTATAAATGTCACCCCCCCCCTATCTTTTTTATTTGTCATTTTAGAAAAAAGTGTTCCAAATAAAAGTTTTATGGTTGAAATTAGATTTTTTGAAACACTCACTTTCGCATATACAGGGTGTTTCAAAAAAGCTGGTCGTGCTCCAAATTTCTTATTTTACATGGAATACCCTTTATATTATTCGATATTCGGATTCTACGTAAAATTCTGAGCAGATTTCATGTGATATACCCTATACCTAAATTCAACTGTTTTGGAAATATTGACAGTTGAAAATTGACTTTTTTGCAACTTTGACAGGGTGTAAATCCTAAACGGTTAATTTTAGAGCAAAACCGATTTTACATTTTTGTCTTACATTTCTATAAACTATCAGTTGACACCAATATTTGACATTGAAAATTCCAATTAAATTTAATCTTCGGTTAAATTCAAAGTTGATGTCAAATGATAACTTGTGAAAATCCTAGAAAAAAATTTACAGGGTATTTGATTATATTTGGCACCATACCTACAGCCTTGACAGTTTTTTTCTATATTTTCTTTTGACAGTATCAGAAAAAACAAAATCGCATCGGAAAATGGAGAAACGTAGGCAAATTCAACTTTTTTCAATAGAACACCCTGTATATTATACGATAAAATTAAAGATCTTTTCTTCCTGATTCCAAATATATATATATATTGAGCACATTTGAGTGAGCCGTTTTTGAAATATTTTAGCTTGAATTTGCAAAGAAATTTCATAAGGATATCAAGACATTTAAATCTTCATAAAATTCCTTTGGATTTTATTTAAAATTTAAGCTAAGATATATCAAAAACGACTCACTCAAATACGATCAGTATATATATATTTGGAACCAGGAAGAAAAGATCTTTAATTTTATCGCATAATATACAGGGTGTTCCATTGAAAAAAGTAGAAGTTGCCTACGTTTCTCCATTTTCCGATTCCAATTTCCAATTTTCAACTGTCAATATTTCCAAAACAGTTGAACTTAGGTATAGGGTATATCACATGAAATCTGCTCAAAATTTGATGTAGAAGCCGAATATTAAATAATATACAGGGTGTTCAATTTAAAATAAGAAATTTGGAGCACGACCAGCTTTTTTGAATCACCCTGTATATGTAAAAGTGTGTTTTTCAAAAAAATTAATTTCAACCATAAATTTTTTATTTGGGACACTTTTTTCTAAAATGTCAAATAAAAAAGATAGAGGGGGTGACATTTATAACCAATAACCCTGTACCTACCTACTAATAATTTAAAAAAAAAATGAGAATTTTCATGTGATATCCTTAGGGAGCATGTAATAAGTCGATGTTACAAAAAACAAAGGTGAAATATACATATAAAAAAAACCCGACGCCACTGAACCTTCGGCTGTTTCCGGAAAATTGTCTGATAACTTTTGTCTGATAACTTCACATCAGTCTATCTATAATAGAAAAAAAGTTATGGGTCTTTATATTAGTTAGGAAGTGACAAAACCTGGTACCAAGTTCAGTAGTAAGAATGACAAGTAGGTACATATAGACATAATATTTACCATATTGCGTACAACAACGGAGTATTATTTATTTCGTCACCTTGACTGATTTTCAATTTCGCATCCAAAGCGTTGGCAGATTTAATTTTTTTCATCAGAATTTCGTAACACTCAATGTTGGATTCCCCTGAATGTATAAAACATATCAATTCGCCGAGCAATTTGTTTGGAATGTCCCGTATTTTATGTTTGTCCAATAAAGCGCAGAGAATGCCATGATGTCCATTTTTGACGGCTATCATGACCTAAAATGTAATTACATATTGCATTTTTATTTTTTGACCAGCTTGAATTATTTACCGGCTTATCTTCATTCGTTGTTGTTGTTATCCATGGAATAGCACCTTTACTTAACAAATGTATGACAATATCGTACAAACCTTTACTGCAACACATTTGCAAAGCAGTACTATTTGTACCTGGAATGCATCCATCTATGAAAGCTTCTGACATTTCGTCAATTTCTTTTTTACATCTGACTTGATCTTCTTCGTAAATATATTGCACTAGCTTACTAAAATTTTTCATTTCTTGTTGGGGATTTTTTTCAGAAGACTTTAAAATAAATATTTTATGCATTAAAATAAATTGTATGGGAACCTAATAAATATCACTTACTTCTTGCAACATAATTGTTAAAGTTTCAAATAGACGTTCCTCTCTTAAAATTTTGAGTAGAATTTCATTTTTAAAATGATGAATATTAGTTCCATTGTCAATTAATAATTTTGCACACCTCAAAAAGTTTGAAGAAGTTTGATTTCCGTATTGAATTAAGATGTGCAACGCATTGTTTCCTAAAATTTAAAAAAATCGAGTAATTTTTTGATTCAATCAATAAGAAAACTCACCATTTTTTTCTAAAGAATTCACACAATCAGGACTATGATCTAGAAGGACCTTTAATTTTCCATTGTTTGTTTTGGCCGCTGAAAAATGTATAGCTTCCCAACTATCTTTTGATTGACGATCGTGAATATCGGCACCCAATTGCAATAGTTTACTTACAACTTTGACATCGACTTGATCATCATCGCAAGCTATTACAAGGGCCGTTTTCCGAAATGGCTCGGGATAAACGCATTGAAATAATACAGGTTCGTCCCGCAATATGATTTCTATTCGAAGTAAATCATTGCTTAAAATTGCTTGCAGCAGTAGGATTTCAGGTTGATTTTCTTCATCCATATCGAAAATCCCCACAATTAAAAAGTATCACGTCACAGGACTGTAATTAAGGTAAGACAACGGTTGAACTAATTGTCTTCCTACAATATTCCATTTATTTCAACTTTAAAATATTTTGCGGTTTCTAATTTTAGATATCCTTAGGTATATTATAGATTTTTTGGGGTTTTAAAAATTATGATTTGTGTTACTAATAATATAAAATTTATATTTAAAGCCACCGTTTGCAAAAAAGATTCTTTTGACCCGGCATTACACGCGTCAAGAAACTTACGTCATTACACGCGTGCGGTCACATCGACCCCATGCTCAAAAGCTGTGGTCAATCTTTAAACCTAAAAACTACTAACTAATACCGGCCTTTATATATCTGTAATCCATTCTTGTAAAATCCAGAGTAAAATTTGAAGAAAGTACTGAGATTGCAAAATAGAATAAAAACAAACTAGGACAAGTTAAATTGTACTAATTGGAAAAATTATAATCAAAAAACGCACTTCTATTCGTTCATTTATCGAAATAATAAGTGAAAGTGTACTAGACGTGTAGAAGATGTAATATAAATATAAGAGTGAAATAAATTGTTACATGTTTGACTTTCGTCATAATTCCTAAATTAAGTGAATCCAATTTTTTTCTAAGCTATTGCCGCTTTTGAAAAAAATATGTTCACTAGATACACTTCCTGGAAATATCAGTGAAATTAATAATAAAATTGAAAAAGTTAACAAATATTTATCTATTATTAGAATAAAATTAACACCAAGAATATTAATAAAACCAAAACTACTAATTAGTTGATTAGCTCGTATATTAGTTCATATTTCTGCATTCAACAAATCGACGAGGAATGTTAATGATTTGGAAGTGAACGTACGGTCAAACAAAAATTACACAAGATTAACCTTATTTTTTTTCGTTTCTATCTCTTTTTCGTGCAGTTTATTGAATAAAGATGAATAACTTCAAGGTGATATACGTTTATGGCCTGCAGGAAGGAAAAAGGAAAGCTAAATGCCTGACTAGTTTTGATAATCATATACCTACCTATACCTATTACTTATACATAAAATTAGTTTAATTTAGGTTTCTATAATTAAGAACTGATAATTGTGTTAATGGCACTTTTGAATACCAATCTACAATCGTTTTATGACAAAATAAGGTGTTTTTTTTCCAATCTCAAATATAAATAGTTCTATTGTATGTTGAGAAGCCATTTAGCGACAAAATACCGATATTTTCCTGATTGTCGACTGCCAAGAGGTGAAAAATCAGGTCATTGCTTTGCCCTGAAAAGGAAGAATGATTTGATTTTTTCGAGAAAAAGTTGATCTGCTGTGTGTTCACTAACAAAAATGATTAACTACAAGATTTATACCTTTTCGAAGTTGCATCCAAATGTCATCATCACCGGAAAAACATATTACAGAATCAGCATAAAAATTACCAAACAAAATCCTATACAAAACATAAATAAAGTATGATGATACGCCTCTGGTTCTCTTCCGAAATTAAAAATCTCACGTGGTTATGGGTTATGGTGCGGCGTTTGGAATGGGATGGGCGCAATCATCCGGCTAATTTGAATTTTCCTTCTGCCTTTTGCTGACCGACGCAACTTGGGTAACGGAAATGTGCGAAATGCTGAAAGCAATAACCCAGATGTTAGTCAAAGATAAAATTTTTGGTATGCAGTTGTTGTTGCAATGTTGAAATTTTGATAATAATTAAAGTCCGTTTAACGTCCATACGTCCGAGGACGATATAAAAGAAAGTGCCAAATATATGTTCACAAAACGTTCATAAACATAAAGTTCTGAAAATACTTGGAACTACTGTTGTGGGACATTTTTAAAACCAACAATAGCAAACGTCTAATGGAAGTTTTTTAATGTCCATGATGTGTGTTTTTTACAAGGGAAAAATCATCTTTGAAAATGTTCAAAAAACAGTTTTTCAGGTAATTCGAAGTCAGTTTCAAAGCGTTTTTAAAACGTTCGATTTCGACGTTTAAGATTGTGACATTTTCCCTAGAAATATGAACTAATACTTTGATTGACGTTTTTGATTTCCACGAAGTTGACCAAGGTAAATCGAAAAATGTCAACCTTTTTGACGTCTGTCAAAATCCTGCCAAATGGCAGCACTCATATTTTCCGGTTTTCAATATTTCATAAAATGTCATTTGACATTTTTAACTTACCTGTGAATTCTCGGTTCAAAAATTGAAAAAAAAAATTACAGAACTGTCAAAACACAAACCAGATATTTTTTTGTGTTTTTTGGCCCATGTGTGGCTGCCACGCCATCTTGAATGTCACGTGGTTTGAATTGCCTAATTCCAATATTTGACAGCTAATACCACCTCACCTGTCATATATACAAGGTTGCGCCCATGGTAAAAAATGTTGCTTACGACCGCTTACGACATTCCTAATAACATATTTGAATTTCATCCAAATATCACGGGTAACCAATTTCCGTTTAAATATTGCGGCGTCCATTTGAAGCCCATTGTGTCCCGTTAAAAAATTTAATTTTTGAGAAATATGTTTTCAACTCGATAGTTCAAAAAGAAAGTCAGAGTTTTGATACTTTTGTTGCGGAATTAAGAATTTCAGTTGAGTCAACAAATTACAAGGACCCAAATGATATGGTCAGAGACCGAATTGTGTTAGCAAATGGCAATATCAGATAAATCAACACAAGAAAAGCTTCTGAGAGAGCCGAAACTAACCTTGCAAAAAGCAGTGGATCATTGTAGGGCTGTAGAAGCAAGTCCCAAGCTCAGGCTCTAGCAAATGAAGCCTCTGCAAGTGCCATCAGACTCAGGAAAGGTTCAAACAGAAGTAATGTGTCTTATGGTCAGCAGGAGAAATTCAAATACAGTTTTTGTGGCTACAAACATTATAGAGACAAATGCCCTGCATATGGTGAACTTTGTAATGAATGCCAAGGATGAAACCACTTTGCTAATGTATGCAAAAAGAAAGAGTCTAGGAAAGAAGCGAATAAAAATAGAAGTCAACGGAAAAAAAGTGAGTGAGGAGAAAGTGTCAGGATTGAGTGAAAATGTTGATAATGACCACAGTAATAGTGACTCTGATGTTTTTTATATTGGTTCATTAGAGAGGAGTGTTGATGGGCTGACGTCAAAAGCTGATATCGTGTGGACCAAGGAAATAGTTGTGGAAGGTACAGCTATTGAATTTAAACTCGACACAGGGGCTGAAGTTAGTGTGATTCCTGAACATATTTTAAAAAAGCATGGCATTTAGAAGGACATTAAAGAATATCGAATAACTTTAAATTCGTATGGCAGCCCTGATTTTAGAATCAAAGCCCATCGCTCATTATTGTGTAATATTAATAAAAAGTTGACATATTTACCGTTAGTTGTAGTTAATAGTCAAAATCTCAAAATCAAATGCCTTTGTGGGGTTTATCAGGTTGCCTGGAGTTAGAGTTAGTTAAACAAGTTGATTCTGTTCATTATGTTAATTTTAATACTTTGAAACGTGGAATTTTTGTATCCGAAAGTGTTTGGGGGATTAGGTCAATTCCCAACTGAGCATAAAATTGTTCCGAAAGAAAATTCTAGACCCCATATTCAGGCAGTGAGACGCATACCTCAAACTCTTCACAATAAAGTTAAATTGAAACTAAAAGATCTTGAGAATCAGGGCATTATTAGAAAAGTTGAGAAGCCTACATGGATGGTTAAATCCCCTAGTAATAGTGGAAAAAAAAATGGAGATATGAGGTTGTGTCTTGACCCGAAATACCTAAATGAAAATATACAGCGTGAACACTTTTTAATTCCTACAGCCGACGAAATTGCTAGCAAACTCAGTAACAATAGCTATTTTCCTAATGAGTGCGGGAAGAGAAATTTCCGGCACGAGGGTGCGAAGCGCCCGAGTGCCGGAAATTTCTTCCCGCAAGAGTTAGGAACTATATTTTTTCTACGAGCATACCAAAGCCGATGTTACGAGAATTTAATTTAAATAAAATGCGATTGTGCAGAAGGTAGATTTAAAAATGTATTGAAAGGTATTTATAAAAAAAAAGGTAAAGGTATTAAAGGTAAAGGTATAGGTGTATCAACAATACAAACAATTCCATGTCACAATGATTATTTCAAACCTCAGAGTTTCAAGCTCTCTCTTCCCGCACAGCAAATCGTGCGGGAAGAGCCATTTCCCGCACGCTCGTAGAAATAGTATTTTACATACCGAGGTGGAAAGTGTATGTATACTATTTTATTTACAATCATTCGAATTTTGAAATTTTCATTTGGATTAAAACTCAAAAATACAATAATTAACAATTTCATTTACTTTCGGCCCACGGGTCGAAAGTTTACTTTCGACCCGTGGGCCGAAAGTAAGAGTCAAAAAATACAATAAATTTTAAAAATTTCATTTACTTTCGGCCCACGGGTCGAAAGTAAACTTTCGACCCGTGGGCCGAAAGTAAAAGTCAAAAAAGTGACATTTTCGAACTTTTTAAAAATCAGTAAAGTCAACATTACATGTATGATTGTAAATAAAAGTCATTTTCACAGTATTGGATAGTTATTTCCAAGTCAAGATTGATGATCAATCTTCGGATTACTGCACGTTTGGCACACCATTTGGACGCTACCAATTTTGTCGGCTGCCTTCTGGTTTGAGTTCTGCCCCAGAAGTTTTTCAGAAGAAAAATTTTGAGCTTTTTGGTTACATTGATGGATGGAGTAGAGATTTATTTTGACGATCTCATTATTTCGGGTAAAACAGAGGTTGATCATGATAGAAATTTGAAGCGCGTTCTTGACCGAGCCGTCAAATATAATACTGAGTTTAACTAGGACAAAATACAATTTAAATCAAAATAAGTAAAATTTCTGGGACAGGTTTTTTCGAAAGATGGTGTTAAAGCCAGTAACTCTCATATTAATGCCATTTTGGAAATGCCGAATCCCCAAAATAAAGCTGATCTCTTAAGATTGCTTGGCATGGCTAAATTTTTGGGTAAGTTTATCCCCAATTTGTCAAAAGTGTCTGCGCCCCTCAGAACCTTGACTCGCCACGATGTGGATTAGAAATAGGCCAGCGAACATGATGAGTTGTTAAGACAATTAAAGCATTTACTGACGAATGCTCCTGTCTTGACATTCTTTGACCCTTCCTTGCCAATGGAAATTGACACTGACGCCTCAAAAAATGGCATTGTCTCTTGTTTATTGCAAAATAGTCACCTAGTAGCCTTCGCTTCGAGAAGTCTAACAAAAAGTGAAGTAAATTATGCTCAGATTGAGAAGGAACTTTTGCAATCTTGTTCAGCTGTCAAAAGTTTCATTATTATGTGTATGGTGTTAAAAATGTTAAGGTTTATACTGAGCACAAACCACTAGAGTCAATTTCAAGAAAAAGCCTGTATGTATCTCCAAGGCTATCCAAAAACTGTACCTACATAGGAAAATGTATAATTATTCTAAAACTGGACATAGGATTGAGTTCATACTAACGTGGAAAGGTCGAGGGAATAGTCAGAAATAGGAAAATACCAGTGGCGTACACTCGATCGACCTATGAACGAATGGACTGGTCGGATGCTTTTTTAAGACGTATTTTACGTTTCTGTGCACTTAAGATTATGCCTGAACGATATAAAATTTAAAATCTTAGATTCTTATTTAGAATCTGTAAGTAAATGGCACAAGTTACATGCTCCCTGGAAGTAAGTCAATTGTGCAAAAAGCCTTTGTCACTGCGTTACACAAACCCATAATCCTAGGGTCAAATTCTTTGGTTCGTGTCAAGTTCTAAACATCATTTTCATGGTGAAAGTTACGCCTATGGTTTAGTTCAAGCTGAGGTGGTCCGCATCTGCAAGCGGGTTTTGTTGTTCAGCGTGCTGTAAGGAATTTGATGTTCGGTTTGTATGCAGCCAATCGCGGTAAATTCTTGACTCTCAGTACGACTTGTGCTTTAAGTCCACTCTCTACGACCAGCTTTGAATTTGCGCGCTTTTCGTGTGAAGTTATGTGACGAATGGTCTTTGATTTGTTGATATTATTATGATTGGTCTAACTATTGGATAACGTGATTTAAATTTTGATATTTTCGGTGAGTTTTCATTTTTGTTGCATGTTTTTATCTTTGAAAAAAGTTAGAATTCTTACGGGAAAGAAAATATTGGTACTTTGGTTTTGAATGAGGGAAGTGATTTAAGGTTTTACTTAGGTAGTCATATAGAAATTCTTTGATTTGCATGGAAGAAAGATGCAACAACTGGAGATGTCTGAGCTCTAAAACAATATTAAGCCTTGAAAATAAATTTGAGAATCGATGGAACCCAGAGAGATGAGAAAAAACATATACATATTGTTGGGGATCGGGAGTTGACCGATGCTACGAATGTTGAGTACCTGGAGTTTTCCGCTCGCTCCAATTTCGTACTTCGATAATTAAAACTCGGTATTGTATAAAAATGTTTCATTTATTAAAATTTTCGTTGAGGGGGGGACACTTAATTAAGAATGTTGAGAGGCAACCCGACTGTTCAGAGTGAAGCTCGGAATCTGAAAAGGTACCTTGCCTTCAACTATTTTCCACCAAGGAAGGCAAGTTTGGACCTCCCTAAAGAAGGGTATTTTACAATTTCCTAAAATTAACTTATCTTAACAACATATTTTATTTAGGTGCTAAAATGTTACGAAACGTTTGTACAATCATAAACCTAAAATTGACCTAGGGGTTGTAATTCTCGCCATCAGTATTATAAAAAAGGCCTGGGAAGGTACTATGTCTTTGGCGGCAAGAGTACTGCCCATGGGCTGTATTTGACTTAGTTTTTATATTTAGGTACAACAATTGGGGTTTCTGCAATAGAAGTACCGACTTTCGAAAAAATGATGTGAACAGTAGGACATTGGTTATATAATAATTCTAGCCGGCATCGTCTTTGAACCCTAACAGCATAAAGTATTGTTACAATAAAACTTGGGACTTAATTACACAGATGGTGGAACTTGTAGAAAATAAAATGTGGTGAACATTAGGATTATTGATAATATAAGTAATAATGAATTCACTAGTTCACAACAATATCCTGAAAAGGTTTAAAAGTAGGACTTCTTTTCCTCAAGTAAATGTTCGTTATGGAAACTCTGATGTTAAATTGTTGTTTTTTTATTTTGCAAATGGGTTACATTGTTTTGAAAGACCTACTTTTAAAATATTGTTATGTTAAATTACTCGGCTTTGCAATGTGTTAATAGATGACATGTGACTTTAATATTCACTATTTACATTTCCAATTTGTGGCATGTGCAAATGTTTAACAAAATCATCAGTTTTTCATTTCGCTCTAAAAATAAACAAAAAACACCTATTATAGTACCTAGTTATTATGGTCTTACATTTTTTTCTACAGTATCTACAAAGTGTATTTTCTTAATAGAACTCGTCTCCTCACTTTTTTATTTGTCCCAAAATCTACAAATTTACTATAAGAAATTATGGAAAAGAGGGAACAAAAATGTTTAAGTCTAGCAAATAATCATTTGATTGAAAAAATCAACTTTCTTGAAAAAGAGTGCCTGGCTCCTTTGATAAACACATAAAACTTCCTATAAAAGTGTAAATACACCGCGTAAACTTCTCGAAAAGTTTCCATCAAACAAACTCAATAGTGGACAATCTTATTTTTCCAGTGACGAAAACAGAGTGAGGATTTAAGCAAATCGACAATACAAGTACAAAATAGATAATCCTCAATGTAAGCTCACAAAAGTTTCCATCAGAAACAATACGAGCGGGAACTCTAAAACAAACTGAAAATACAAAAGCCTAGGAAAATGATTGTCACCGCAAAAAGGGTAAAGATGTGTAGAACTACAGTAGAAAGTGCCACGGAACAAATATATAGGTATACTTTTCGGAAAAGGTGACATCTATTGGCAGACCAATTCAAACTGTAAGCTAAAATTGCCCAACAGATACGTAAGCTATAGATTTTCACAATCCTGCTTAACAAGTGAAATTTGAAAAAAGATTCAGGACAATTTATCACCTACAATGACATGTCAGAATGTAATATACCAATACACGTAGCAATTGCCGACCAAGAGAAAACTTTCGATTTATTCAACACTGTAATGGACAACGCCTGAATAGATAATATTGAAAACACGATAACGCTAGACTAAAGAACAACATCAATAAAGGTTTTTTGAAATTAGAGATTGAAATAGAAAAAGGAGTCTACACATGGAGCTATAGGTATAAAAGATGCAGTCGAAGCAACTACCTGAAACAAAAACGAGCTGAAATCTGGATTTCAGCATGAGATTTAAAACTAAACATCAACTTGATAGAAACTGGAAATATCCAGAAGAATAAGGCAATGGGCTGGATTCGGTAACCATCCACCTATTGGAATCCCAATGGTGAATTCTGATCAGATTTATATTTCTTGGAAGTTGGGAGGGGCAGGATATTATTCTTGGGTGCGTGCGTACAAACTGTTGCGGAAATAATCCACAACAAGTTTAAATTTCATTATTTCTAATTTAATATATCCCAATTTCTATTACTTACCAGAAAAATAAAATTCTAAAAATAGATGCTATTGCTGGACTATTTATCCTTCAAAATCGGCAACAACAACCCTTTGAACCAATAAAATTACAGGTTCCTTCATTACCTTATAAGGCAGTGACTTTTCTCGCTGCTGTGATTGGTCAGCCGCCATATTGTTTCCTAAATTTTTGCGACCTGCTCCCCTGGCAGAGTCTAGTCAACGCACATTTTTCAGTACTATTAGATTAAGTGTAGAGTTCGCACCCTCGCGCCCTCTGAATGCTCTCCAGAGGAAAAACCCCCGTTAGCACGCGCGATTTATAGTAAAATACTACTATCTGTGTCTCAAGGCCTGAGATGGTCTATATTATTAATTCAATTCATGTAATTAACCCCTAATTGTTGCAAGTCACCTCGGACGAGCAAAATTCTCTCCTACGCTTTTTTTGGCTCTATCTCTCTCAATCTTGACGGGCTCTAACGCACCTGTATATCATTGCGTTTTCTTTTCATCTCAGTGGAAAATTCCCTAGCTGCCAGTGTGAATAGTGGTGATAAATGGATAAATAATCGCCTGCTGACCGGATTAAGCAAGTAAGACCGTTACAATTTCTCTAACAGTCGAACAATAAATACTGACTAGTGATTCGCTTGAAATTCACTATAAATTGAAGTGTTTTCTAACCTTTACTGCAGAAATTTGGTGATATTAACATTTGTACATTTGTATATAGAAACTGAGCATATATAAAGACTCATCTTGCACATATTGTTTACAAGTCTGGAGTATTACATTCCCAAACTATTTTCCAGTATAGAGGGTGGCCCAATAATTAGTGGTGATACAAATTTATGTTTTTTTAAAATGACTCTCCCTGTATATTATGACATTTCTCGATTCTGCGGAAAATAAATAAATATAATGTTCCTTGCATTGCAAATGGAATCGGTGCAACGTAAAGAGCAAACGAATAAACTATATCTTGGCATAGATGAGCCTAAGATGAGAGACTGCATCAAAATGATAAGACCAGAAGAATATTGGACCAATAGAACACAGAAAAAACTTGAAGTTGTAAGAAAAAGTATTCTTTATAAATTAGGTACTTGAACTTTTCACAACTATAATGAAAGTTATGTCTCGCTATGCAGGTTTAGTTCTAGGACAAAATCAAATGAAGGTACCCAGTTTTGCATTAAGAATTATTGGTGCTTATCCACATTGCGTGTTCTGCAACATAAATAAAGCTATATTCGTAGGTGCAACATTGTAACGTTGTTATGGCTCTTTACTATGACATATTAATGCAATTAACCATAAATGTTTTGAAATAGCAAATAGTTCAGACGCACATTGTAAATATAAGTTTCTAATTTGTTCCAATAAAATCTACTAGGTACCAGTTCCTTTATATTTTACAATGCCAAACGCAATGTGTCAATTACCAACACCAGGTGCTAATAACAATAATTGATATTCATATTGTACCAGTTAATAAATGGGTTCAATGGTAAATAATACAGAGGTCCTTCTAGTTACAAATAAATACCTATGTAGGTGTTGAAATATGAATAATTAATTAATGAATGATTATTATATTAATTATTTATTTGACGTATTTTAATTCACGAACCCCATTTTGACAAAAAGATAAATAAATTATTTTCTACATACATTTTAGTTTTGTTGAACAATTCAATTAGTTGTATGTGGTCTTATATTATGCTTCAGAAAGTGCTAAAATTATACCTAATTTATTATACTCTGTTAAATACAATGGAACTTGTCTTTGTTAACTTTCTGTTAGTTTTTGTTATTTTGTCGTTCTCAGATTATCTCTTAGACCGTACTTTGAGGAATTATAAACAGGGTGTTTTGGCGGAAGGTTAGCTAAACTTGTTGGGTGTATAGATAGGCCCATTTCGAAGATAATTTATCAATATACTAGCGTCCTTAAGGTCCCCGTTTTTTTATATCATTGCTTTTGCATTATTCTCAAGAATTTCCAAAAATGTACCTTTTAACTTCTGTAACATTCATCAAGATCAATGATACCCTACTGACCAAAAACATTTTCATATAAACATTTAAAGAAAGGTTACAGAAGTTAAAAGGTCCATTTTTGAAAATTCTTGAGAAAAATGTTTGGCTAACCCTCCGTCAAACACCCTGTATATGTAGCTGTTCTGACATTTTGACCTCCTAAGGTATTTATCTGCTATGAAGGTTTTTCAGATTGAGAACAAAAAAAACGACATATTTGTATAGAAGTGACTCAATTTATGACGTAATTGAGGCGTGCTGACTAGGTATACCTTTTTAAGGTATGCTTCCTTAATTACACACTATCATTACTATTGTTGAATTGTTTTAAATTCTTACCGTTTCTTGGTTACACGTAATGCACTTAGGATTTCTTGTTTTTTTTTTTATATACTATAGTGTGTTTTATTTTTAACTAAAGAGTCAATTTGCCTATCAGCCCGGTAAATCAACTGAGACAGCCCTACACAGTCTCGTCACTAAGATTGAAAGGGTACAT